CCAGCGCGGGGCATGCGCGCCGGCACCAGCCGCCCTCAACGGCTTTTAACGGCCGCGCCGCGGCGGTTGGGATTGACGGTTGGCGCTTGGTGTGTGTTGGGGGGGATGTGCATGTTTCCCCCTCCCCCGGTGCTGCGCTTCAGGGCCCTCAGCGCATCCTTGGCCTGCAGCTTCCCAGCTGACAAATTACGCCTGTACGCTAGAAAAAAAATAAAGAGAGAAAGAAGAAGAAGAAGAAAAAAAAATCCAAAATAGCAACAAGACGGGGAGGCCTCCTATGAAACCACCCCGCGCGCTTGATTATTTTTAGCCCTCCCCCTTCGGGCTGTTACCGTGCGCCAATTAGTGCACGTGCTGGGCGCGCGCGCAGGCGGGCGGGCTCCCCAGCGCCCTTCCCGCCCGCGCCTTGCAAACCTGCCACCTCCCCCCAAAAACAACCCCGAATGAAATATCCGCCGGCAGCCCCGGGGTCCCGCGTCCTTCCTTCGTGCTGCCCTGGAGGGGATGCCCCCAGATACACTCAGGAGTCTTTCTAAATATTTAATATCCACTCAGATAGGCTCTTTCTGCAGCTCCATTTATTACAGAGGCTCCTCTCCTGGCCAGACAGCGCCAGTTCCCCGGGACAAGAGGCTGGTAGGAATGCGCCGGCACCGAGGAGCCCTCAGTGCTTTACAGCAGCAATGATTTCTTTTTCCCTTGCTTAAAAAAAATCACAAAACATAATCTTACCTGCAGGACTGGAACGGGTTTTTGTTTTTATTTTCATAACAAGGGATATTCCCCGCGTTACACGTGCACACGCACACACAAACCAATAGAAAAGCAAGATGCGGGCTTTTGATGCTCTGCTGTGACATGAATAATTGTTGCATCGTGTAACTTCCTACATCTTGGTTTTAATTCGCAGTGAACCAAACAAAGATATTTGCAATTTTTAAATAAGCACTCTTTGTAATAAATGGGAACATTGTGCATGAATGCTGTTTCTTCCCCTTTTCTTTGGAAGACATTATTAGCTCTGACAGCATGCAGCTCAGGTTTGGAGGAGAGGATTTTGTAAAGGGATGACAGACAGGAAGGGCAGCAATCATGGGCTTCTTGGGCTAAAGCTTTTTTTCTTTTTTATCAGAATGTTCTGTTCGATGCCATTTATCCTTGATGATAGAAAATTGCTCTGTTGCCAGGACGCTGCTGCTGAAATAGAGGGCAGGAGCCACATTTCCATTTTGCAGCTTGAAAGCTATTCAAATGAATTTGCAGAAAGGGGGAAAAATCTAGAAATAAACAAATGAGAATAAATCGAGTTCCCCTTTCCTCTCCTTTCTTCCTCTCTTTTTTCTGCTTTTTTTTTGGGGGGGGGGTGCGTATGTATGCGTAGGAACTATTCATCCTCTGCATAAGGATTTTGGTTCATCAATGTTTGCAGCACCTGGGAAGTATTCTAAATCAGGGAACGCTTCCTTATTTTGCTGCTGTTCCAACCACTGAACATATAAACATATTAGAGAAATTTGTGTGCGTGTGCGTAGATATGCAACCACCTACAATTTTCTTGCGTGCATATATACGGCAGAGCCAGAAACGCAGCGTTTCTGTGTTCCCGTGTGTGAGGGAGACGCTACCAAAGACGCACAAAATCATCTCTCAGGAAGGGCAGCGTTTAGGTGTTGATTCTGGTGAAATATCCTGTCGGTTTAAAACAATTAAAATCTGAAATGCTGAAGCCATGGTGTTGTCTTTCCATCATAACTACTTGCGGAGGGGGGGAATCTCTCTTTTTATTGTTTTATTATTATTATTATTTTCTCCCTTCCGAGTCAACTTAGATATTTCCGGAGTCTCCGAGAGAAGTAATAATGTATCTACGTACAGTCCAGCAGGTAGCCTAAGGGCTAATTTTTAATCATTATTTATAAATTAAACATCGACTAAAGTAAAGCCAGAAGCATTATTTATAAATCGGAATAAATCTAATGATAAGTAATTGCGCTCTTCCTTCGCTGGTGATTTAAGCCTCAGCTCCCCAGTTTAAACCCAAACAGATGAAACGTGCGACGCTTGTTAAGCACTTTCATTTCATCTGCCTGCTCCGTCTGCAGCTCCTGCCGTGTCAGGCTGTGAATACTGGACATACCTGGACGGGGACTGTAAAAGCTCTCAGTGCTCGGAGAGCCCCGTTGCCACAGAGCGACTTTGAATGGAGTTGCGCTTCTCTGGGTAAAAGCTGGTGCCAATGAGTCCTGGGGTTTTGCAGATTATGCAGCGTTCTCTTAAACACAGAATTTGAAGTGACCATAATGTATTCGATGACACACTGCATTCGATCAGCTTGGATTTTTTTTTTCATTATGTCATTGCAACCGAGTTTTACCTCTTATTAATCTATAACCAGCGCGCTGCCTCCGAGTATGATGCATTTCAAAGCCGCCACCTTGTTAGATGTGGTTGCCCTCTGCAAAGCAGAAAATTCTGGAGACCTAAAAGAAACAAATGGAACAGAGGGGTGGGGGAGAAAGAAGAAAAAAAGAAAACAAGGGGGACTGATTTATCGGTTTTGCCCACTAGCTTCTTCCCTAAGTGTCCGAGCAGCCAGGCGTGCGACTTTGCTACCGCTTTCCA